TTAAGCAGTTCTTTCCACGCATTTTAGTTTTTTACATTTGCTGTAACTGGAGTGGGAAAACTCACTTCCATGAAAGGGGATGCCAGTCACAAATGACTACTTTAATGTAAACAGATCACTAAATGACCCTTTTCACTGTAGTTCAATTAAAGTAAATGACACTAAATGGGGAACATTCGATGAAAATGTCCCTTGCCACTGAATATGTGCATACTTACTGTCAGTCAGTCAATACTTTGCTGAAAGCAATGGTCATGGTAAAAATAGGAACATTTAACACAGGAAAATCAAATCTAAGGTTCAGAGCAACAAATTCAAGATGCATTACGCACATCAGATTATATTGTTTCCTGTGGGTGTTAATAGAGTAAGGATAGTATGGTATCCAAAATTAAGCTAAGGACTGTGGCAATTTTGCTTTCAATCTCTTCTTTGCCAGAACTTTCAAAAGGCTGTTAACCTCAGAGCTATCTCACTGGATCAGGGGGCGTTGCTTCCTTCATGGTATATTGTTAAGTGCTGTGTTCTCTTGAACCTGTAGCTATTATGCTCCTCAAGTTCCACAGGAAGGATTGCAGTCAAGCGCAGAATCGTATCCTGTATGGGATGGTACATGGATCCTGGAATTTGCCATGCACCCCTTCCAGCACTTTAGCTCCAACTCAGAAGATTTTTCCTTTGTAGGTGCTGCGGGGTGGGAAGAAGAGGTAGTAAGAGGGGACTAGGTACAAAGCTGCATGTTCTCATCCGGAGACACCATCGTCCTTATTGGTTCTGGTGAAGGAAGGGCGGGGGGAACTCAAGCAGCAGCTCAGTTTGGCCTGTGCGGTACCCAAAACTCTCTGGAGCCCTTCTAAGAAGATGCAGCTGAGATGCAGAACCTGCTCCAGCCTGAAGACCAACTTCCATTTCAGAGAAGCTCTTTGGATCCCAGAAGCCATTCTTAAGTGAAATCACTCTTCCAAACAGACTACCCCATTTGGAAGTTGTGGGTTTGTTTCCTCTGTTCTCCCTTGACCTCACCGAGTGCCCTGAAATGATGATGTTACTCCAGGAAGGGAGAAAATTCTGGCTAGCAATGAAAGCAACTCTTCCTGCTCTTCAAGGTTCCTCAGAGGTATCATGGCACAGCAAGCATTAAGCCAGAGGCTTTCTGGGGGAAGGGAAAAGCACGGCCTTTCCTGGGAGGAGTTCAACTGCTGCCATAGTCAGCCAAAGCAAGCCTGAGTAAGAGGGAGCTTGCTACTGCAGGTTATTGGGTGCTGGGGGCAGCCCACTACTTGCCTCAGAGTCTGGTTACTACCAGAAATGGGGACGGGATCTCCCTGCTTCTTACATGCCCTCACCATGTGTGGCTTGGCTCAGTTTGCAGAAATAATTCAGAGCCATCTCCTCTTTCCGGAGTGCAGCTCAGCTCTTAATTGTAGCACGCTCTGGACTGTGTAGACTGACCTGGCTTGGGGCAGGAGGCTGGCCCAGAAGGCATTTTTGCTCCTTGCCAGTATCCCCAGATATGTCGACAACTTCGATTCAGCCTCTTCCTCCTTGACGTGACTTTAGGAGCAGAGAAGCAGATCTCCTACACTCCTGGCTTGGCTTCTGTGCCTAGAAGAAATGGCCCCTTCCCAAAAGACCCCCAAGCATCAAGAAGGACGTTTGCTGGAAAACGGCATGCGGATGTTGCTCCTGGCAACCTGCAGGCAGTGCTAGCTGGAGCACCATAATCATCACGGCCTCTGTGGCTCTTCATGCATGCCTGCTTCAGGACACATTGCAGACAGCGTGGTCAGGGCCGGGTTGTTGTGGCTTGGATCCCGTTCTGGACAGACACACCCTCATCTCTCTGGAACAAGGCGAGCAAGGCACATTTTGAAAGCATCTGCTCCTGCTGACTTTCACGGAGCCAGGGTCAGCCCGGGTTCGGCTGCCAGCCAATTTGAGACCTCCTTGGCATGTCTGACACCAAGATGTGCCTCTGCTTGGTCGGTTTTAGAGCACTGCCCTGCCAGCAAATAATCATAGTATAGGAAAAGAGGGTGTGCCTTAGCCCCACTCGTTTCAGCAGAGCTTAATCTGCTGCCCTGTTTCTTTGAGCTCTTTGGAATTAAGTGCATTTTTGCCACAATGCTATATTCTCTTTTAAAATTATTGTCAGTCATCTGGGGCATGTTATGATTGAAGGGAGGGCTAGGCAGGCAGTGTGGTGTAGTGGTTAGAGTGCTGGACCTGCAACCTGGGAGATTCAGGTTCTAGACTATGGCCCACTTGGCCATGAAGCTCCCTGGGTGACTAGCTCAGCCTAACCCACCTCACAGGGTTGTGCTTGTTGATGTTCAGATAAAAATGATGCTGTGGAAGCTTGCCTTGCGTTTTGCATCAAATGCAGTCTACTACTACTACTAATGATTATGATCATAAGATTAGATAATTAAATATATTTATACTTACCTGCTCGAATATAATCCTATGTATTTTTACTTGGGACTGCACCCTTTCAAATCAGTGGAGATCTGGTTTATGGATTCAGCAGGAAAAGGCAGGTGGCAAGAGTGGTGAGATGGCAGAGTGACATCAATTCGGAAAGGCCCTCTGTACGTGTGTGTGCGCCTTATTTGTCCCAGCAAATAAGTGTGAGTTTCTCATTCGGCTCATTCCCTGTTGAGCTATGTTTCTATTTGCGGGCATGTGTCCTGGTGGGGGAAGCTTCAGAAATGTGGTTTTCCACCTGACATACTGTCAGATACGGACTGGCTCTGGCGCCTCATTCTGATGCATGCGTAGAGACCAAGGCTAACTTCCGAATAAACTGGGCTGCATGGTCTGTGCGCGATCGTGCTGTGTCTGTGGTCAGTCCTGTTGCTGCATGGCAGTTAGCATTCCCCCATGCTGAGTGTTTGCATGCTAGCCCAGCGAAGGCAAGCCAACGCCAGTTACTCATGGCAGCTTCCCAAGCATCCCAGAAGGTTCCCAGGCACCCAGACAGGAAACATGGTCTCATGTCATACAAAGTGGCATGTCCTACAGTACAGCCAGAAGCATTACGAGAGCTGCAGAAATTGTTCTGTCTAAGCATATGATGGGTTGTTGCACGTATTATTACAACTTAATGCAGATTCCCTTCCAGGAATCCGGGGTTAGTTGTTCAAGACTCAATTCACAGCTACAGGTTGAGCATCTGTGTCACAATCTTAGTCCCTGAAGCACTCTTTGCGTATTGATATAAGAAGGAGAGAATGCGACAGATAGAATGGGATTGTCACTTGCTGCTTTAAGCGATTTTTATTCAGTATGTCAGTTTACATGATCTGGTTTCTTTTCACAGTTTCAGTATATAGTCTCATATTTTGCACAGAGATCGAGAGGTTAATGTATAGACCTGCTTGCATATATTTTTAACTAGGAATAACACATATGCAAATTCACTATAATCATTTTTGCTACAGAAAATGGGAGAGACAAGAGAATCTTGCATGCATGCTGAGTACTGTAACATAACATGCAAGTCACTCCGCTTGGCATAGTGGGAAGGTGTCTTTACTTCCATGTGCCTAGGTTCTTGAAGGCAGGCATAGATTTTCAATAAAGTCACTTGATGTGCTGTCTAAAAAGTATGACCCACTTTCTACGAAGAACCTTTCTACACCATCTTTCCTGCCCCCTCCACAATCTAGCAAAGAATCCCCCAGATAACCATGGAACAATGTGGCACAAACACATGATTCCAAACACATTTCAAAATCTAGAACAGAAGGACACTTATTGCAAGCGTAACAAGTCACCCATCTGCAGTCTCGAGCCACAGAGAGTGCTCTGTGATAACAAAATTTGTTTGTGATTTTTTCAATTCCTAGGGGAGAATGGTTCAGTCAAGGAATGCTAAATATCAGTGCTGCTGCTTTGAAAGAAACAGAAGGCTACTTGAAAAAGTTCTGAGCATTGAGGGGGCATGTATGAGAATGCCATAAAACATTTCCGGTTGTTTCTTCTATTTAGGCGAACTTTATTTCCTGTGGTACATTCACCAGTTTTTACCAGTGTATGGATAAGCCCATACAGTCCTGCTCATTTCCTTCTGGCACAAATCGTACAGCCCAAGAAGGAACTGGGGATCAGGGAGTCCCTTTGAGCCAGATGTCAATTTTACAGCTGTCTGAAGAGAAAACATTGGCAATAATTTACTTGATTCCAATTTGAGTTAGGTGTAGATGTCAATGAAAATTAATATTGAGATTGCGATTGTAAATTTGTAAAGCTCTGTTAGCCTAAGCTGTAACTTCCTTGAAGTTGTCTTTGGAGAAGACCATGGCACTTTAGGTAGACAATGCCACTTGGGTTTTTGTTCGGAACTTCAATTATGCCCACTGGCCCTTCAATTAAAAGAAAATAAGGAAAAGGGAAAGAACCCCTTCTCCTCAGCCTTTAAAGACCAAAGTAGAAACATACATAATGTTTAAAAATATATACATGATATATGCATAAATCCCAAAATCACACATTTCAACTAATGACCCTAAACTATGTTAAATAATAAAAAAGAGATTCTGTGAGCCTGAACAATTATTACACATTTTTAAAAGTCCGTATAAAATAGGAATGGCTTCCAATCACAGCTGCCCTGTTTAGCTGCTCACAGGAAGATTGCATTGACAACTGCAGGACAGAATACTGGGCTGGTACAGCATGTAACTTCCCTCCTCCAATACTTTATTGACATCTTTTTTCATATGTTTTTAAATAGATTACTCAAAGCATACCTGCTCACCCTGCTTGGCATATTACACAGAGTTAGATTACAGAGAGTATCATAACATCAGCTAACATAAACTCTTGCCACACAACTGGCATATTCAAATGTACAAATAAAAAGATAAGTAGTGGTGGCCACCTAATGAGAAGGAGAAGAGCCTAATGCTGGGAACAATAGATGGCAAAAGAAGAAGGGACGGCAGAGGATGAGGTGGCTGGATGGAGTCACTGAAGCAGTCGGTGTGAGCTTTGGTGGACTCTGGGGGATGGTGGAGGACAGGAAGGGCTGGGGGAGTGTTGTCCATGGGGTCGCGACGGGTCGGACGTGACTTCGTGACTAGCATAGCATGGCATACCTCAGCCCTAAAGATATTCTTGGCATAGCATGCATATCAGTGTAAGATCCTATGTATGCCTTTGTAATATCTTCTTAATGTGATGTTTATGGCACAGCCTTGTATAGCAACCAGCGTATTCTATCCCAAGTATGTATTTTTTGACATAGCAAGCCTTAGAATCTGGGAATAAATAGCTTTAGTGTGACTCCATTAAAAGAATTCTCCATTAGGAGAATGTTGAGTTATATAAAGGGAAAATCATTCACAACCCAAAGTGAAAATGATTTCCTTATTCATCCAAGTCACAGTGGAAGGGACCCGAGTATGCCATGTTCAGTGAACATGTGGGTCCTAGTATAGATATGTACAGACATATATAAACACACACACACTAGGTTAAACAGGGCCCTTGAGCATTGCCCTCAAATATGGTGAAGAAAGCAAAAGTTCAGCCTGGGTGAGATGGCGCATACAGATCCTAAGAACCATGTTCTATATAGAAGTCAGGAAAACACTGTGCTTGAAGTGAGTGGGCTGAGAAAAAAGGAGGTGGAAATATGAGGATGGGGGGACCAAACACCTCTGAACTATTGAGAGATACATATTGATCATAGGTGCAGACTGGATTTCATTCACTGATATAACATAACCAACCCTTATTTCTGCATTGTTTCACAAATGCCTATATGGTTTGGATCAAACTGCATCAAGAAAATCCATATCAAATCTCCCATTTTTCTTTACACAGACATTATGAGAGGAAGCCAAGGGCTTTCCTGACTCAATTTCTCGTGGAACGGACTCCATCCAAATCATCTTGTGCTAAAACCAGAAACTTTGGATTAAGTAACTGGTTAGTGTTTTCCCCCTATGATTTAAGTGCATGAAAAAACCTCACTAAAAAAAGCTTGGCTCTGAAAAGCCACAGAAGAATCCTTGGTTTGCAGTTAGTTAGTGGACTTCATTTGCAGAAGTTTCCATTGTGAAAAGAAGATTCATTTTTTTCAGCAATACATGATGAACTTTTAGTCTGTGGGAATTCGTTCTTGGGCTTCTGTGTGTTGTTGCTGCTGCTGGATTTGCTTCGGCTCTGATCTGGGGTGGGCTGGATGGGCAAAGACATTGTGGCATTGGCCTTCACCAGGCAGCCACAAACAAGGCGGAAGAAAGCCCGACGCATTTCTTTGCTGGCCAGAGTGTAGATGATGGGGTTCATTGCTGAATTTAGGACTGCCAAGGCAATAAAGCCATCTTCTCGGTATAAAATGAGACACTCCTTAACATCACATGCCACATCAATCAGCAACAGAATAAACAACGGGGACCAGCAGGCAATGAAAACTCCCACAACGATCACAACAGTCCTAAGCAATGCCATAGACCTCTCTGAGTTGCTGTGATTGGTGACATTACGGCTACTGGACTTAACCAAGATGTAGATGCGGGCATAGAGGATGACAATGGCCACTAGAATGGCTATAAATATGATGATGCAAAAAGCCACATACTTTTTGGAATACAGTGGTAGAACAGTGGAACAATCTTTTAGGTTGCCAATACAATTCCAACCGAGGATTGGTAAAGCACCCAAGGAAACTGAGATAAGCCAGCATGTTCCAATGAGCAGAAAGACTCTGTACTTTTTATTAGCGTCATATGGCCTCATTTTGATCATTGTCAAGTGTCGCTCGATAGCGATGGCTAATAAGCTGAAAGTGGAAGCACCCAGGGCTACAAACATGCTTCCTTCCCGAACAAACCAGATCCTGAAAGAGAGGGTCAGAGTCTTATTTCCTGACATCAGGATGTTTACTTTGTAGACTATCCCAGCCAGCAGGTCACAGAGGGCAAGATTGCCAATGAAAAAGTACATGCGATTGTGAAATTTGTTGTTCTTCCAGATGGCAATCAGAACCATCAGGTTCTCCAAGATGATAAAACTACAGATGATTAGAAGTGCAATAGTTGTCAGTCCTTTTTCTTTCCCTCGGTCAAGCTTTCCAGTGTAATTGTAATGACAGCGTATCACAGGGTCCATGGCTTCATTTTCTTGATTCGAAAAGGGACAAGTGGGTGGTGAGCTGATCAAAGCCATGGCTTGGCTTTAGATGCGTTCGCTTGCCTAAGTCCAGTTTTATTCCGACTGCTTTCCACAAGGGGGCGCTCAGGTCACACCCCTTAGAACACTGCTTCGAAGATGCCGCTGGCTGGCTGCTTGCCAGTGTCCCCTGGCACCAATATCGAGACCTTTAAAGCAGCAAGAAAAAGACAATGTAAGTCAATTACACTCAATTCGCTGGGAAATGCATTAAAATCAGCAAACCTTGTGTTTTCTGGCACAATATACTAGAGAAAAAGTGTCTGGATTGCTCAAAATGATCCGGTGTTTGAGATCTACTAGACAAGTCTAGACATTGCCAGAGACTGGAGACGACCACCAAACTGGCACCCTTTATCAAGTTTTCTTCCTCTGCTTCCAGGAGTCAGGACACTCGGCCATATCCCAACACCACCATGCCATCGATTCCTCCGCCTGGCATAGGCAACAGGGCTGGGGGAATGCACACCCGGTGGCAAATTATCTAACTGCAGATTAGGGTGGGGAAGAAGATAATCCATCCCAGGTCATCGCAGTGGTGCTTTGGTAGAAGCCCCTTGGTGTTGTTAACATCTCATTTTATGGCAAGTGGCAATAGCATTTGTGATGCTTCACTGCATAATTTACTGCACATTTCAAGTCTATTTAAAATTCAGCCATTAAAAAAAAAGTGGGGGAAGAAGGTGAAAAAGTAGGGGCAGCAAGAGAGGACCATACTGTCTGGGTTACTTGATCTGTGACACACAGAGCATCCTTCAGCCAAGGTTAAACATGTTCATGTCTCTCTGGTTCCACTGGGAGGCTTCAGCTTGGCAATGAAATCCTATGCATCTTCGCTCAGAAGTAAGTCCCAATGAGTTCAACGAGACTTATTCCTAGGTAAGCACATATAAAATTGCACCCTAAATCCCTCATTGTAATTAATGGATCCTAACACCAGCTGGCACATCCTGATCAAAGGTCTGAGCATTAGAAAATCTGGATAACTACTGCCTGGATACTGGACTCTTTTAGTCCTGTATCTATGTGAAGCTGGATACCATACTGAATTCTGAAGAGCTCAAGCTAGTTGTCGCTAGTTGTCTATCAACCATATAGGATACTGACTTACAATCTTCCTTCTGATGACTAACAAGGACATTGACTCTGTATGCTTTCTGATTTGCTATCTCCATACTAAGAGGAAACACAGTAAAAATATACAGCATTGACATGGGAGCAGAGTTTATGTGCAAGCTATTCTTCATTCTATTAAAAAGGTAATGGTCTCAAAAATTATTCTAAATAGCCAGTAATGTAGACTCATCATGAACGATTGATCATCATTAATAATAACCCAACTGTCCTTGGACCTCTTTGGTCCTTCAGGCACAAAGACTCTGGTATGCCTCTCCTACTCAGGGGCAAAATTCCCAAGAGCCACTGAGCTATGTAATGGACATCTCTGTGTCAATCAGGTAGAAAATCACAAGAATTCCTGATAACACTAAAGACCTAGAAAACTGAGCAAGGCAATCTCAACATGTCTGTTCAGAAATCCTACTTAGTCCTACTCAGAAGTATCCCTACCCCCAAGAAAGCAAGTGTTGGATTGCAGTTTCGGAAACTTCTCTGGGATCTGTTTTGGGTCCTGATGGAGACAGATTATGGTTTAAAATACCTTGCGTTTGATTCAGTATCTAGCCTGATAGATTTAAATTAGTGTTAGCCAAGTCTCTCTCTCTCTCTCTCTCTCTCTCTCTCTCTCTCTATATATATATATATATATATATATGTATAAAAAATAAATTAATGGTGCTTTAATTTATTGCATATGAATATAGTCTCAGCATTGATTCTTTTATGAGATGCATAAAATAGTTCACAATTTAGTAAGCATTGCTAGATAGGATCCCATCTTTGCAGCTTTGGTTTTGCATTTCCTAGTACAGTAAAACACGAACTCCAGCATGTTTCCTCACAAAAGAAACAAGCGTGCCCTTGGTGGTTAGACCTGATCTCCAGTGAAAACGTGCAGTACGAGTTACAGTGTCCAGGCAAAGTTGGTTCCCATTTCATATGACAGCAGGTCTCTGGCAAAGTATTTCCACATGGCTCTGCATTTTTCTGTGGCAGATGTACATAAATCACCCTTAACCACCTGAGGAAGCTTTTGCATAAGTCACAAAATAGCATGCTGCTTCTTTTCAGTGGAGACTAAGCATCTGTCCCCTATCTCTACAAGGAGACACTGGAAGACAAATGAAGTGTAGAATCACTGATAGGTGTTAATCGGGAAGCATTCCTGCTTGTTTTCTGGTGGGCGGGGATTTTAAGCACACATACTGGGATGAGAAGTTCACAGAAGTGTTAGGTTACTTAGACATCTACCCAGCCCCCTTCAAGTATTACATCATGTGCAAGGACTGCAGCAGCCCCAGCTATTCTAAGCTCTGCATGAAGAACAATTCTCACTTCAGGGTGAGCTCTGCAAATGCCAGAGACTCTCTGGTACCCATGGCTGCTTCCAGATGTGGCTTTTATTGTGCAATTACCCTCTTCAAATATGGAGGGGCTGGGGCCAGATATCGTTGCAAACCTCCCATGTTTTCCCACATTCTTCTGTCTGTTTTCTCACCCTAGTAAATCTGTTAAGGAGAGAAAGATGGGAGAGCTGCATAATGCTGGTAGCAGTCGGAGCTGCCTGCCTGGGAGCACCGCTCGTGTATTTATAGCCTGTGAGTCACATCTGACATGCTAGATCAGCAAATAGGTGCCTGGAGATTTTGCAGGATGCCAAGATCTGTGCTGGCACAATGCGCATGGAGCAGCCTGCCAACGGGCTAGTCCACCCAAGTCCTTCCCATCCTGTGCCCCCTCCGTGTGTTGAGGAGACGGCCCTCGCTGGCTTATTTGTGCAAACGGCCGCACACGCATCGAAGCCCCCTCTGCAACATGTGCTGTGGCAGGGTGAGAAAGAACGTGAATGGAGTGACAGGAGCAGTGGCCATGACTCTGAACCCTTCATACTTCACTGAACATCTGGAGGACCACTTGAAGGAGGCTACTGACAGGGAACATGGGGAAGGGAAGGGAAGGGAAGGGAAGGGAAGGGAAGGGAAGGGAAGG